ATTATGAGTATACATATATATATATATATATATTAGCAGGTTGTTTCAAATAGTTACAATCTAACCAATGTTTTCATGTGTTTTTAGAAACCACGTCTGCCTTTTTCCTGAAAAACAGGTTTGTCAGGCAACTGACAAAATCTGGTTGAGCACTGAGGATTTGAAGTAGAACCTTCTGGATAACATTCCTGTTGGCACTGGGCAGACATCAGCATCTCTTCTTGGCTGCTCAATGCAAACTCTCACTGAAGATACCCTGGGTCACCATTATTATATCCATTCCATGCTTTTTGTATCACCAACATGTCGAGTCCTCTCCAGTTGTTAAATCACTCAAATCCAGGAAGGCTTGCTACTGATCAAACCAAAGAGCCCCATGAGGCTAAGCCATCAGAAGTCAGGCATCTAACAGTTCATATATCACAGGAAAATGGCACCGCGGTGAGTTGTACTTCAGCATTTACCTTTTCCCTGTTCTCAGAAGGTGAGGGTAAAATGATCTCCTGCATAGATGAGAACGGGAAGAAAGGGAAAATCCAGCTCTTTGCTCGTGCCCTTATCATTGCTATGCTAGTGAATGAAGCAACAGATGAGGACAAATGATTTCCCACCCTTTGAATACCTGACTTGAGTCTAGAACAAGGAGCATTGATATAATATGAATCTAATGGAACCACAAATGAATTTTCTTTCTTTTTGCCTTTTTGGTGGTTCTGACATTCCACTGGGACCCACAACTCCCAAACAATTAAATCCTAGGCTGTTAAAGATCTCTTAAGTTCATTTAATACAATCCTATAATTCTTCAAAGTAAACACTAGAGAATGATCCCAATGATTTAGTGGCAGCATTAAGTCATCTGATTCCCATTATCTTTTATTTTCCCTCCATGTTTTGCCATAGGGCAGAGACAGTGAGAGGGAAAATGAGAAATCACACCCCTGGGGGAAATGGCCACACCACAATCCCTTTTCCTCCATTACCTTCCTGAGATTTTGGACACATGCACACTCACGTGCACATGCGCCTGACAGGTCTCAAGCGGCCAGGTCCAGGACTTGAACCACAGTAGGCTGTATGGGAGTCCAGTGCCTTAATCACCACACCAATCACTGCCCCTCCATTATCTTTGTAGTGTTCCAGATTACCTCTTGATTTACAGGCGTGTTTTATTGAGACTTGATCCTAATGAAACTCTTCCTGGAAAATCAAATATCCTCTCAGATCAATGTATCTTCCATAGTTATTTTTAAGATCGCTAGAAAGATATACCCAGTCTTTAGTTTATACTTTCCAGGAGATGAAGTCTAACTGGAGGGTTGGAGAAAGAGATGGAGGCTTAAGGGAAGTGTTTTATTTCTTCCTCTTGGTGTACTAGCCAGAAAGAGAGACAGAGAGACAAAAAGCGAGAAATCACCTCCCAAGGGGGATGACCACACCACAATCCCTTCTCCTCCATTCTCTTCTTG